TTAAGCTTATCTATCTTTCCTAAATTAAGGTCAGAAAGATGGAATTGCTCCTAGGCCTATGAATCAGGTACAGATGAAGAAGAAAGTCTCTATTTTGTTGAGGTGTTCATAGGCAGAGTTAATTTATACTAGAAATTTTCCCTTCTTTGAGACATACGACTGATTTCTGCTGTGATAGTTGTCATTTAATATATAAGCCCTATACCTGGAGAATCCTTTAAAGGCACATTTATGTTTGGAAAGAGTCTATAACTTCATGGGACTATTATTCATATCTTTCATCAACACTTTTGGTTTCTCACTCTTACTGAAAGGGTCATAATAGAAATAAAGACTCATAAGACAGACTATAGGAAGTTACCTAAGCTAAAATAGTATCATGGGATTTTCTGTCCCTTGATGAAAAAAATTGTGTATTTGATACTTGATTTTGGTGGCATTTGGGCTGTGGCATATTTAGAAAGGTGATAATGTATCTCACAAGCAATCTTCTGAAAACAGGTTTTAGTGTATGAGTATTTCTAGTCTTTCAAAAAAAGTCTTGCTGATTATGATGCATTTATGAAATTAGTCAAATTGCAGAGTTGGCTTAAATGTGTGCAATCAGGAAATAACACACACATTTCAGAAATGCAATTCTGAAATTCTGATGTGCTGAAACACTCCACAAAACTTTGTTTGAACTTTTGGAAAAGGGTGTGAAAAACCCAAAACTAGCTGAATGAATGGATTTATGGATTTGCCTTTTTTTTTTTTTTCCAAAGAAGGTTTTTTTCTCCTTTGCTTATGCAGACCAGAGTTCCTTGCAAAATCAGAACTGTCTTACTTGTCAGGTTCAGCTGTTGCATTTTGGGCCTATTTGGTTAGAAGTTTTCCCTTTTTCTTTGAGGGCAGGCTCAGCAAAGCAGAGAACCCGTGTCTCCACCACATTTAGGTGTCTTCTTCCCTTTCAGCAAATCTTTGTTGTATAGCCCAGCATTTCTGATCTGTTAGAGCCAAGTTTTACAACTCTGTTCCTACAAGTCAAACAAGTTGCTACATCTGTGCCTGCCAATATTGTGATTTTATTATAAATCAGACATTACAGCATTTGGCTTCTTTTCAATTGATTTGAATTACATGTTCTCCTTCAGTGTTAATTAAAGCAAGACCTCCAAGATCTAAAAGATAAGACTATAATACTTCAGCACATTTCTTCTAAAATGTCTTTTATGTGACTTTTTTTTTTAGCTACACAGAGCTTTCAACCAGAAACATCAAAGAATTCTAACTTGTAAAGGGTTGGAATTTTAGATCTCTGAATGCTTTTTCTTATGGGATGCCTCCTTTTAGAACTTAAGGATAGTCTATTTATCCATTATCTGAAAATTTATATAAGTTTTATTTACGTAAAAGTAAAACGTTCTGTTCAGCTTATTTCAAAAATCTTTGTAATTTTCTCAGCATTAGAGATCCGCTGAGATAAACACAGAGAATATTCTGGAGCAGAGCTGGTCCAGCAAAGCTCATCACCCCTCTCTATCCCCTGTATTTTAAGGAAAAGGTTCAATGAAGGAGGAATCACACAGTATGTTTCTTTATTTATTCCTTGAAATCACATCCAGATTTTATCTCACATTGTATCTCAGTATTCTCACACTGCCAGTCCAGGACATTTAACTAGTCTATTGATAACAGTGTTTTACAGATTTTACAGTGAAAAAATCTCCAAAGATTAGTTTTAAACTGAATAGTTATCACTTCCTGCATTTAATTCTTGCTACTATTCAATTTAGAAGGATATCATGCATTCTGAATAGAGTTCTAAAGAGTAATAGATTCTAAAGCTTCCTTATGTCAGTATAGCTTATACCTGTAAAAAAAAAAAAAAAAGTTTACCAGTGTAATGGCAGAAACAGTCTTTTTTAGAACATTTTTATGTTTCAAAGAGAAAAATCATGTAATTAAATATTTAAAAGGGGGTAAAAATTGTGCAGTAATGACATGGAAAATCTCTGTAATGGGGAATGGGCAAGCCAAATTTTGCAGATGCCCTGATGCAATTATACCGTAAAACAAAATATGGAGAAAATTGTGTAGAATTTCCAAGCCAGTGGAAATACCCCAACACACTTCTTTCCTTCTCACCATCATTATATTATTATAATTTTAAAAAACAGTTTATATTACAAACACCTTAAAGGTTAGAAACTTCATCATTTCTATTCAGGATGTGGGAGAATGAGGTGTAATCGATTTTCTTTACAAATGAGTCTCAACTTAAGATCAATGGGATTTAAAATCCTCCCCTAAATTTCACATGTTCTATTTGCTAATTTAGGTGATTGTCTCAACTTGTCAAGTGTGTAGGATAGCCATGAAAAGAGTAGGCTGGAGTGGGACTGCAAAATGGGGGTGAAATGCTTTTCTTGGCTCTGAGTGTGGGTTTTGAACCACCAAGACCAGGCAGGAAAGGTAGTTATAGGTAATAATCGATAAAGTCAAATTAATAATTAATAAAGTTTCATGACCGAGATACAGTCTCCGATAGCCACAATGAAAAGGGATAGCCCCGAGCCCGGGATCAGTGAACACTGATCCGATCTCTGTCGCACCACATCCCCTCTGTTCACCAAGGCTGTCCGGTCCGGGCAGTTTTTATACAGTTTGTTCAGCCGGGGGCAGAGTCTCTCCTTTTCTTTTCATAGTTTCACATATTCATGTTGTCTTCTTTCTCTGCCTTGGGCTGGACAAAGCAGTTCCTGGCAAGCGATGAATGCTGATGTTGGGTTATGGGAACCTGGCATTGGGGTGCAAGTTCCTGGATACTTATTGAGTATTCATCGCTTGGGTGTTTCGCTGGACTCTTCCTGAGTAAGAGCCCATCTTCTCTGGAGCCACACCTTTTGGGTTGTAAATTAGACCTCTCTCTGTGGTTTCTCAATGGAGTGAGGCAATCTCCCGATCCGGCGTGTGGGCTTACAATCCTTTAAGAATATTTCTTACAAACATCAGGACTTACATCTCGTACATTTCTCGTAATATTCCACATAAGCACAAACTATTCTAAACTATATATTACAGGTGCTACAGGGGAAGGGAAAGGAGTCATGCAGATGTAGCTGAGGTGCTGTGGCCTGGGAGCACTGTTTGTAGGAGTGTGATGCTCCCAGGGCTTGCAGAAGGTGCCATGGTGTCCTGGTGCCCCAGCCTTGCGGGCAGCAGGGAACAAACACTGCCTCCCTGGACCCAGCCCCAGGAACCTGGGCATGGGCAGGGAGCCCTGCCTGCCCATGGCTCTGAGCAGTTTGCCATGTCCCACAGCTTCCTGATCCCCATTACAGCATGGTGAAGGCTGCAAGCTGAAGCAGGGAGGGCTGCTTTAAATAAATTGTGATAAGGAATGTGGAGGAATAAGTTAGCTCACCCGCTGAGCTGTCCCTCTGCATCGGGCTGCTGACTGTCTGATAAAATAGGGAGCACAGTAGCAATTTGATGAAGTCAATGTTCTAAGGCTTTTAAGAAATGCAAGGAAACAGGCTTCAAAAAGCCACCTATTAAAAGGAAGTAAGTCTGATTTCTTGAGGTCTGAGGAAAGATATGGCCTGAGATTGCTTGTTTTACATATCAATTAAATTCTGATTTGTCTAGCTGACCAAGCACCTTCATCACACATAATTTCAGTTTAGTTGAAACTGATCAAATAACTTAGGAAATAAGTTTAGTAGATTCGGGAGAGTTTGATAGAAAAATGGAACCACACAGAGCCTAAAGTATATTAAATACTGTTTCTGTGTTGTAAGAATTTCTGGTCTGCCAAGAACAATGTCTGACACATTTTTCTATACCCATGGCTCCTACACCCGTACCTGCTGTGATGCAGGGAAACCTCACTTTTTTAAACCTTTGATAGCTAATTTTCTATTTGTTCATCTCTTCTGCACTTTGACAACATGTGTGTTGCTTATTAAGGATCTTGGAAGTGGTACCATCTTTTGTTCAGAAGATTCTGTTTAAAAAAAGCAATGGAAATATTTCTGCACATAACTATTTACTGGTCTATACTTTCAGCATTTTCCTTTACCATTCCTTTTGAGAGGTCTGGTTTTTATCTGTTTTTTGGACAAAATCACCTTCTTCCTGGCCCATCAAAAGCACAGAGCACCCCTCTACATCTCCTTTTAGACACAAAGACAATATGAAAAGCATATTTGATTATTTTTAGTGCAAAATATGCAAACTTACTTCACTCTCTCTTAATGGTGGTAACAAAAATAAATTAACAGAAAAATACTTGGATTGGGCAAAATGAAAACTTCTGAAGAATTAATGGTTTTGTCTGCTGATAAAAGTAATGTGTTAAACACACCACCCAACTGCTCACCCCTTGCAGAAGATGTAGTGAGTGTCTGCAGACTTCCCACATCGTTCATGTTTATCACGTATACAGCAGGACAGCTTTATTTATGAACTGGAACAGCTGTTTATGAGAATTTCACATCTTTCATAATGTTTATTTGCCTTTCACCATGGCTTCCAAGCTCTTTTGACATAAAATCCGTAGGAAAACCTGAGTCTGTACAAGAGTTTCTCTGTCTCTTCTACATTTGTTTTCTTAGGTGATTAAAATATTTTTTTAGACTTATTCTATTTTGAAAAGTGTCAGCTATGGGTAAACATGTATTAAAGTTAGAAATGTTACAGGAAAAGCTTTTCCCAGACAGAAAACAAGCAAAAAAATAAGCAGTTGGGATGTTTAAATGAGTCTACAAAAATTAGTCCAAATTTCCTGAATTTTGTGAAAGTATAATAGTTCTTTTAAACACTTACATTGCCATAAAATCTTTATCAGGGATACAAATGGCTATTTTATGGAGTGTTCAAAACCTTTATAAAAATTATTTTCAATTTCAATTATGATTTATTTTCATTTATAGTTTATTTTCGATTATGATTAGCAAACCAGTGTTCTGTTCACTTACTACATTGCTTTGTTTTGCCTTTCTTTTCTTGTCAAACAGGTGTGTTTTATGAAGTTGTTCAGAGCTTCCCTCGAGTGGAGGAAAATGTGGAGGTGGATTCATTTGTAAGCAGCCACAGGTGGAGAAGGCACTCAGAGTCCCTCAAATCAGTGGACACCAACAGAGCCAGCATGGGGCAGGATTCCTTGGAGCCAGGGGGTTTCACTGACCTGCTGCTTGAAGAGGGACATGACAACACTACACAGATTGAGGTAGATATTCATTTCATCTAATTCATTTTATTGTCTTTGGCTGGGGATAAGTGAAAAATTAGGACATTTCCTTCAGGGTATTCAAGCACTTATGGGGAGGAGAACCTCTGCCCTTTGTATCTGTGAACCTATCAGGACATAGAAGTTGGAGATTTCTCTTGTCCTGGGGCTGGAGCCTGTCCTTTATGACTTTTGAAGATGATAGTCGCTTGAGGATGTTTGCTTTTTTGCTGGAAAACAGTTAAGGGAAGTCCCATGTTTTAGCAGTTCTTGCTGGAAAACTGGAAAAGGACGTAGTATTAAAACAGAATAAAATTATTTTTTTAATTATTTTTTGAAGTTGATGTAAACATCTCAATTTGCAAGACTTTGACTGATCTTTCTGGAGAGTGATATCCAGGCACAAATTGGAAAAGACCCTAAAAAAATGAGAAATTGGAAGAAAATTCAGGTTGGTGATTGAAAAAAATTGCATACTATTTGATTTTTGGTCTTACAAAGAATAAGATGGATCGAGTCCATCTTTGTGAAGCCTAGGGACATTCTCCCTCTGTTTTATAGTGTCATTCAACCTCTAATTTCTTGTTTAGCTGCCAGATAGCTCTCTGTCCTGTTTTCTTTGGTTCTTTCGTTGTTGTGATGGTGGTGGTTTTTTAAGTATTGAATTTGGGAGTTTCCTGTTAATAAAATCTACATCCTGTTTTTCAATAAAATACAGCTTGGAATAAACTACACTTAACATCTTCAGTTCTTATAATCTGCTTCCAAAACACCAGTGTTGGGGTTTTTTCAGTTCCAAGCTCACTCTCAGAGAAAAAAAATGCAGATTTCAGATTTTGGGTTGTTACTTACACAATAAAAAAACACAATGCAATATAAAACCCATCTGTAGAGACAATGGAATCTCTACTGCATAAGCAAAAACATAGTGCTTTCAGAGAGGTGTTTTGTGCTTGTTTTTTAAGGTTCCCATTTTGCACAGCATTGATTACATTTCCTCTTGTACTAACATGAAAGTCACTGGTTGGTAAATTGTAGTTTTGAATGTCATGTTGATGTTTTGCCTTCCTTTTTTGCCTTGTGTAATCCCCATCGGCCCATATTTGTAGCAATTATTTTGGGCTACAACACAGATCAGTCTTGCTTCTAGTTATTTTAGCAGGTAAAGTGCAAGCTGTGTCAAGTACAGGGAAGTTTTAGTAGCTGATCTTTCCATGGCTTACCCTGTAGATCCCTGTGCAGTGTTTCCATTCAGTTGGGTTCCAAGTTCTTATGAAGCAAAATGGTTGGATGTCCTCGTCTAACACTTATTTTTTCCCCAAGACCTGGGGAAAAAAATGAACGCTTGCAAATGGATCTACATAGAATGGTATTTTTCCAGGAACATCTTTCCTGACAGATTAATGTCTTTACAGTGTCTTAACCTGAAAAGTTTATTGAATTCAGGTTTTGTGTTCTGTTGCAAACCTCTTTTTTCTAAGGTGTGTTCAGCACAATAAGATAACGGAGTTGTGGTTTTACACATTATCGGATTCCATTGAAAATCCCCACTACAGCACACGGGCATCTCACAAAAAACCCCTTGATGCCTGGCCTTATAGAGGAGGTAGAGTACACAACAGAAATCCACAGAGGAAGAATCCATATGTTGCAGTCTTCTGCAGCTTGGCAGCTGGAGAGCCTATTGATTATTTTAAATCCTTGCTCTGTGCACATTGCAGTGTTTGCTAAAGAAAATCCAGAGAATAAGTATTAGCTGCCACTTACATTTAGTGATGCTACAGGATGATGACATCCCTCCTTTACAGATACTGTTTTCTCTAATGTGTTTTGTAGGCTTACCATGCAAATGCAGACTTCTTTAATATGAAGACTGACAAGGAGGAGCAAGTTTTCACTTGATAGTATTTGCTGTCCTTTATAATGATGAGTTTATTTTCTCTCCAGCTTTATAAACCCAAACACTTTCTCTCTCACCTCTATCCATTCCTTTTCTTTTTTTGGCAGAAAAACCAAAACAAAACAAAAACCCAAAAACAACAACAAAACCAAAACAAAATAAATAAAACAAACAAACAAAACCCACAAAAAAAAAAAAAAAAAAAAAAAAAAAAAAAAAAAAAAAAAAAAAAAAAACCCAAAAAAAAAAAAAAAAAAAAAAAAAAAAAAAAAAAACAGCCAAGGAAGAAAGGCAGTAGGCAGAAATTTCTGGACACTGTTTAAAATTAAATATTACTTGAGTTATCAGTCCATATAGTCATAAGGTAAAAAGTGATAAAATCAAACCTGTGTGGAGCACATCTTAGTTCCTTAGTTGCTGTTTATTTTAAGATAATGACACTTTTGACTAATTTTTTTCCCATTGGAGTTACTGGAATTGTTCTGTAGCTTCACTGGATCCCCCATCAGCCCTGATCTGGAGGTTATTTTAACATCTGCTTGAGTGGGAGCATGAAGTGCAGATCTTCTGAAGCTCTTCATGCAAGTGCACTGTAGACTGGTTCCTCACACCTTTCCAGTAGTCAGGGTGGACCTCCTCCTATGCATGGGAAAGATGAAAATGGTGAGGTTCTCTTTAGGGTGCAACCTCTCTGGTCCAAAAACTGGAGCACTGGAGCCACCAGGGAGCCCAGGTGTCTCTCTTCACATCTCTGTTTTGTCTCCTGCATTTGTTTGGCACTGTGATTCAGGAAAGGACTCATACAAAATTATATACACATTCATGTGCCTTTTTTAAGGTAAGCTGTTCTCTTGAACTGGTCTTGAACTAAATTGCAGAGACTAGAAGAAGCAGTGGTTATGACCATTTGATGTGCTGGGCTTTCAGAAAAGAGCAGGGCCTGGGGAAGAAGAAGATAAGAACTCCAAGTCCCATTGTGTTGCTGGAGAAGAGGAATGTTGTGGTGGCACAAACCCACAAGGATGGATGTTGCCAAAACAAAAGGACATAAACAAGTTTTTGCTGCATGCCAGATAGGAACCCTGATAGCGAACTATAAATTATAGGGTAAAATTAATATATAACACTCTTAAAATGGTACTACTATCTTGAAAGTACTCCTCCTATTTTAGAAGGATTATTATGGCATGCCAATTAGAGACTATAATGTTGCAAATCCAAAAGACCTCCCAAGATTGAGGTTAGTCCCATTTGCTTTATTTGCAATTGGTATTCTAGAGCTCAAAGGCCGAGGAGGGTCATATTATATGAGACTTACTACGTTTTCATTCCCATTATATCAAATAGCTAAAGAGAGAGAAAGCTCTGAAGAGGGATAAAATAGTGGCATAAGAATGAGATCTTATACAGATGAGTGCAAATGTTATAGTCTGAGAGAAATCCCCAAATCAGGTAGCCTTGGACAGGTAAAGCAAGATGCTGTCAGCCAACTAAACCAGCTCTAAGGGGCTGCCCCAAAATACAGGGTTCTGGTGATGCGCTGCAACAAGCTGTCTTCTTGGCTTCATGGCAAATGAGAATTTCAGAAGGTCTCCATTGAAGATAGGAGCATCTGAGGCTAAGCCATATTTCTTCCCAAGGGTCACAAAGCCAAACATTAAAGCCTGCCTGGAATAACTTTGGGACTATCGGAATTCTTCTTTCTAGAAAGTTTGTTTCTCAGATTTCTGGGACTTCACAATATCATGATTTCAAGCCTAGCTTTCCTTTTTTTCCCTCACATCTTTCTTAAGATTCTTCTCTCCTGTTTTGAGGGTCAAGGTTGTTTTGGGTGTTTGCTTGTTGTTTAATATCCTGCTTTTTTTTATTGGGCTCAGGACATTTAGAAGTGTCTTTTACTTATGCTAAATAAAGCTTAGGAAATGCAACGTGTCAGGTGGAATTTGTTGCTGCAAACACTGTAAGCCCTTGTAAAAGCAGCGAGTGTGAAAATACATCTCCCTGAATATGCGTAGTTTGGCATGTCTGCTTTCAAGCAAGGAGAGAAATAAGATAAATATACTATGTTTCTGCATATATTCTTGTAAAATAAAACTATGCTCCATAATCACTCACTTTTATTAAGTAGATTTGTATTAATACTGTTAAAATAAACTCAACTTCATGGTGGTGATGGGACCAGTTCTATCAATTCTCAAAGGCCTGTGGCCATACAGATAATGAAGGTGGATACCAAAGGTTCTTGCTGCCTGTTTGTTTTTTGCATTACTGAGGAAGAAGCTGATCTCTGAAATGAATCTCCTCTGGATGCTGGTTCCCCAATATTCACCACTAAAGGATCCACAAATGCATTCCTGTTTTGTCATAGTGTTTGCTAATGCAGGTCTGGCTACTGAGAACTGGAAAAGGATTAGTAATTCAATAATATACAACTAATGCATTAATATACAATTGTGCATTGCACAAATGTTGCATGACAATTTTTCCATAGTTTAAAATGTGCATAACTTTTCAAGTGGTTTCCTATGATTTTTGGCTATGTCTAGCTCCATTCAGAACAGAATCTCCCTCTATATGTATAGCTTTCGTCTCTTTATCACAGATCTTTCTTGTGATTGCAGTCACATCAGTGCTGGGTAAAACAGTGGCAAGAAAAATACAGAGAAATTGAACTGGAGAAGTGTCTGATATATAGCTTGCACTGGCAAGAGCAGAAGGTGAAAAACTTTGCAGAATAACTTTAGATCATGTGAATTACTTTCAAATTTGTTGCCACTGTATAGAGATACTACATCAAAACAATAGTCTTTCACAAACTTCAAATACCAAAAATAAATCCAGCAATAAAATAAGAGATTAAATCATAGTCAAGCTTGGGCTGAGTGCAGTAAAGTTTTATTGCTTTGCACCAGCAAAAATGTGAGGAAAAACATAATTTTTCATATAAAGTCTTAGAACAGAATGAATGATTGCTGCTGTATGACAGAAGATTCAGTTCTGAGCAAAGACCAGCACGCTAAATCAAACCAAATTCAACTGTATCTTATTTTCTCCACCCCACCTAACATACTACTTGCAAGCAGAGAAAATTGAGGCTATT